TCCAATATATGAGAGTGTGTTGTAGTCCTACCGACGCAAAAAAAAATATCAAATCAAAAGAAATTAAAGTCATGATGTGGTGTTCTTGACAAGATTCTAAACAATCCCTTAAATCAAAAGGCAGTAGAGAACAAAAATGAAGCTAGGTGGTTTAAAGGAAAAGGTAAGTCAAATTTTAAGAAAATATTATTTTCAAGCTTCAAATTACAGTTTCAAATAGTCATTTGCTTGGTTCATCATTTCCCTAACCATTGTCTCAATGACATCCTTCTGCATTGGTGAGTACCTATAAGGTCTTGAGTTAACTGGTAAACTGTCCTGCATCAAGGGAATATGGTGATCAAACACCCCTCTTGAGGGAGGTAACTATGTAGGTTCTCCAAATATCCCTGCATACTCATCAAGAACCTACTTGAGTTCCACAAATTTCTCAACTTTTTAACGTTATGTCACCTCCACTTCCTTGCATTATGCCTCTCTTACCTTGACCGTGAAGAACTGGGATCCTTCAATGGCCATTTTATTCATTGCTTTTGCTTGGACTATTTTGAATTTAGGCTGAATCCCTTGCAAAGTGAACAACTGCCCTTTATACTCAAATTCAATCATGAGCTTTCTAAAATTGAATTTAATATCCTCTAGGGGGTAGAGCCATTGGATTCCGAATACTATGTCACTTTTGCCAATTGGGAATACCAGAAAGTCATCCTGAAACATAGCCCCTTGCATTAACCACCGAAATCCCTTACATATACTATCTGTGGGCACTTCTCTACCATCAGCAACTTGTACCAACTGAGGTTTAGTCTTGCTTATTTGGCACCCCCAACCTTTTTTTTGTTCCTTTATCTATGAAGTTGTGTGTAAAGCCACAATCAATAAAGATTTCCAAGGGTCTTTGCTCTGTGAACCCTCTCAACCTCAAGGTTTGGTAACCTAAGGTTCCATTTAAAGCCTGTAGGGAAATAGCACAGTTCTCAGGAAGTTCCTTAGCTATCTCTTCTCCTTCTTCCTCTACTTAGATCTATTCCTCATCCTCTATTGGTACCTCACCTGCTTCCAGTTATAGGGAAAATAATTGCCTCTTAGCCTGCATGGCATTTCTGACCAGACACAAACTTCTCATCACAAAAAAAACACAATCCTTGAGCCCTCTTCTCATCCATTTCTGTTGGACGCAACCTCCTTCTTCTATTGTTATCAAATTTAGCTGTGACTGGTTTCTTGAGTACATTCAAGTTGCTCCTGGGCCAATTGTTCTGACCATGACTCATGTTCCCTCTATTCATAGATGACAAAGAGTTGCCCATTTTTATAGCCTTACTCTGAGCTGCAAAGCTGGATTCATGTAGCCTAGCTAAGTAGAAAGCCTGGGGCAATGTACAAGGATTCCCAGTTCTCACAGCATGGCTAAGTTTTAGCTTGAGGTTGTTTAAGAATATGTTGATAGCATGTTCTACTGATATATTGAGCCTAGTCATGACATTGGTAAATGCTCTTTGGTAATCCTTCATTATCCATGTGTATTTGATGTTCATGATCTCAATCATTGGATCAGTGTATTCAGCCCCAAAAGTATCACACAAGGCCCAAATATACTCCTCCTAAGTAGGAAGGGGTGATTGTCCCTTGCTCCTCATATATCACAAGTGCCACTGAAGGGTATCACCCTCAAAGTGAAGAGATACTAGCTTTATTTTCTATTGAATGGTGACTTCCTCTTCAGCAAAGAACTACTCCACCTTATACAACCAAGTTCTCAAATCTTCACCATCAAACTTAGGGAATTCAACCTTGGCGTACTTAGTAAAAGACAGGTTAGGATAGGCTACATTTTGTGTGTTTGGTTGGTCTTGTTTTGGTAGGGTGTATGTGCAGGGGTAGGCTGTAGAGGTGTATGGATGTAGGGTGTTTGGCGGTACAGGGATGGTGAAATATGTGTAAGTTGTGGGTAATATGTTGGCGGATAAGGGCCATATGACATTGGCATGTTCTGGGCAGAGTAGTAGGGTCTATTGGCACCATGAGGGGTAAGAAATGGTTGGGGCCGGACAGTGGTAAATCTGGGTTGGGGAGAGAAGCTTTGCTGCGTTGGTTGAGTTTGGAGCTGGTTGAACTGAGCTATGGCAGCTCGGCCTAGTGTCATAGGAGCTTGGGGTTGAGAGAAGGTGCTCACAGGAAGTGGGAGAGGGTTAAGATTAACAGGGATAACAGGTGGAGGTAACTGAGAGTTGAGAATTTGGTTGCTTACAGTTAATGGAACAGTGTTATTACTTGTTCCTGGAGGAATCGAGCTGTTAACACCAACAGAAGAAGGAGCAGCTACCTCACCTAGGTTGAGTGATTTATCAATTGGCGAATATAGCTCCCCTCCACTATGGTTGAGGTTCTTGTTTCTCTCAGGTCTCTTTCCGCCATGGATGACCTCGTTAAACACTTCTCTGATTTCATTCAAGGCTTCCTCTTGATTTATGCAAGATTGTTCATGGCAGCTTCAAGCTGGTCTTGCCTAGTTGTAAACCCTGTCATCTCTATAGAGATTTGGTGTAACATTTTTATTACTTCGTTCAATTCCGCCATTAATCCAAAGAGCCGAGGTCGTGCTCTGATACCACTATTGCAGCGGTCAATGGAACAATAAAAGAAGGAATAGAAAACTAAGCTAAAAAGAAATAAAATTAGGGTAAGAGAATAATCTTTGATTGATAACCCAATTCTGCAGAGATACATGGATATATACTCCACTCTCACTAAAAGACAAAACTAGCTAACCAACTCTATATGACTAAAAATAAGGGAAATTACCAGCTATGTCCATTTATAGGTAGCTCATTACAAACATTGGCCAATTGATAAAATATTACTAATATTAGCCAAATTAGCCAATTAGCTATTTGTAGCAAAGCAATATAAATTTTTTACTTTGTTTTGAGTGGGTGTTATTAGAATAGATTGGGCACAACGTAAGGAGCTTGAATATCCGTTTTGGGATGATTTGATGAAGTTTTGAGGTGGTTTGAATTGAAAATTCCGTAAAAACTGAACATGAAAAAAATGATATGTGTATCACACTGTGTATCATTTGTGTATCACATATGTATCATATTTGTATCTATTGTGTATCACATGTATATCCATGTATACCTGTGTGTGAGATACATGCGTGATACATGTTTGGTACTGTGTCGCAGAAGACTTTTTTGAACTCGATTAAATTACGAATTTTGATACAAAACCAGTCCAAATCACCTCCAATCCTCCTCAAATTTTGTATATTGACTTATCTATATATTTTCAATGAATTTCAACTATACCCATTGAAAAAGTTCCTTTTTTGCTTAGATTTTTGGAATATTGTATATATTTTTTGTATTTCATCACCTTATTTGCTACCTCATCCATAAAATTTCCTTTCGGTCTTATATCTAGTGTTGCTAATCACGCTTAAAAATATGGAAGGTGATTTTTGCATGTGATTCTTTGAGAGAAAAAACCCTATTATTTGGTTTTTTAATTTTTGTTGGCTAGTTTTGGTAAGTCTATGATTAATTGCTAGAGGTTGGTAAGTTAAGGTTTATTTGGGACATTTGTGTAAGTTTCCCTAAAAATAATGCCAAAGGCTAATTACATGGGTCCAATTGTAAACACACAAAAGTATTAAATAAACTATAAGGGGGACTAAAGTGTCACACCCCAAAACTATAAACTCCCGTCTTTTAACTAATCCTAACGGCTAGTTACAATTCCGCAAGCTCAATGTACAACTCTCTAAGCTTCTTCTTTTCGGTTGCATATCATGATCCTATGAAAAAGGTAAAATCATAAAGGTTACATGGATTTTGGTTGGAGAAGTCATTATCTTGTTGGAGATGATGAAAAGGAATCTCAATGGGACATCACTTCTTTTTTTTTTTTTAAATACTCTTGCATTTTCTCAAGTATCGTATGCATCACAATATTTTTATTTCTCACAATCTTTTGCTGAGTTAAACAAGATGTATCATTAGCTTCTCTATAGTTGTTTTTCTCTTACATTCAAAAAAAGTAAACAAGAATATAAAAATAAAATTATCACATTTTACAAGAAGACAAAATTCAAATCTAGGCAATGTCGAAGATGTTAGAATTTAATGGGATTTAGACTTAGAGGTATGCCTCATTTAGTTTTCGTGAAATTTTTCTCATAAAAAAGTACTGCTAGAACATATAATTAATCAAAAACTTTTTGAATCAAGCCAAGACCTATTTTTAAAAAGTCTCAACTAAAATGAAAGCAATTATAGCTTTCCATATTTTAATTTTATAACTTAAATATAATTTTATGCTTTTTTTAAAAAAATATACTCATTAAGATAGGGTATACCGAGACTAGCAACGTGAATCGCATATAGTAAGTCGATTAAATAAAATTTTTATTTTATTTTTTGCGATATAAAATTGCAAAAAACAAAATGCGATTTATATATTGTATTCATCAAATGCGATTTATATATTGCATTCATCAAATGTGATTTATACAGCTATTATCTCAATCAGACTTATGAGAGCTTTTAGTTCACTTTACTCCGACGGTCACTGCAATTACAGAACACACTTTCGCATTTACTCCTCTCTGTTCACTTTTACTTGTCATGTTTCACTTTTCGAAAGTCAAACAACATAAACTTTAACCAAGTTTTTAACATGTATTTTTTCATCATTATTGATATGAGAAAAATTATAAATTATAGTACTTTTGTATAGTTATGGAATATCTAAATTTTAATTTTAAAATATTAGAAAATCGTACGTAATTTAGTTTAAAAAATTAGTTAAATTGAGGAAAGTGGGAAGTAAAAGTGAACCGACGCCACTGACTTAGAGAGTGTTTGACTAAGTTTATAAGCTGGTCAAACTAGTTTATAAGCACTTCTCGGCTTTTATCAAATACTGTAACAGTTTATTATATTATCAATTTAACCATTTATATCCAAACGCATAACTGTTTATTTATTAAATCAATTTTAACACGTCACGGCCAAACGGCTCAGCTAATCCAAACGGCCTCTTACAATCACGGCCAGAAACCCCCCTATCGCCCCCTCCGACACAGGAAGCCATTTTCGTTGGCAAAAGATGTAATGCCCAGATGATCTTGACTGATTATTTTGCAAAGATTGTCTACATTCAACATTTATCTCAAAACCCAGGCTTCGTGGAAAAAGCCCTAAAACTGAATTCAACTCCACCTTTTGTGCTCGAATTTCACTACGAAAGGTTTGTTCTTCCTCTGATATTCTTGAGTTATTTTACTCTACTACATTTCGATTTAGTTTAATCCAATGGGCGTCTGACTTTGCTAAGCTATATTACCTTTGAATTATCTTGTGATTGCCTGAACCATTGCTGCTCGACTTCTGTTAATTTTCTTCTGGGCATGGCTGTCCTCAGTGAGCTGAAATTTTCCATTTTTCTTCTTTTCAAAATCCGAATAGGTCTCTGCTGTTTCGAGTTTGCATTTTTGTTTTTATTCTATGGTTTTGAATTTGTACTTTGTTCGTATATTCCCTTGCTCGAATCATTATAGAGAACTGAAAACTTCAAAGTGCAAATGTATCAGTTGTAAGATAGTTATAATTGGCATTTTTACCCAGTAGACGACTCTACTGTTTGGTTAAGATTAGCATTTTCCAGTATTGAATGACAATCTTTGGTTGAAGAAGTGTCCACAATGTTAAGTGTAGTATAGAGAGAATGTGTTAAACTTAGGATAATTGGTAGATCTTTTGATTTTATGAAAACCTTCTTAAAGTTTAGCACGATAATTTGCAGTGGTTAGAAATTTCATTCATAATAAGTAGGAGAATTTAAAGAAACAACATAATAGTTCTAAGGCACCACATCCTAATTCTAGTAAAATATGTTATCATCCTCTTCACTATCCGGCACCACTTCGATGTCGTCGTCTTTCTCCTCTTCATCTTCTTCTTCTTCTCGATTTCGACCCCAACCATAGTCATCATAATTAAGTCCAAGGTTCTTCGCAAGCTCTCTAATCTCTTGACTGTTGTCAATAAAATTGCTTGCTTCATTCCGACAGTAATATGGATCTCCCATCGTTGGATAGTAATCTAATGTCATGGCAATGCTTTGGAAGTCCTTGCCACTCTTGAATAATTGGTTATAACCAGAGGCAAATCTAGGATATCCATAACATAGGTGCACCACTAAAGAAATGAGCAAATATCAAGTATTAATTGATCTATGTTACTTTGGGTAAATAACTCAACATTCAATCAAGTGCACCATTTAACCTTATTGTAGCATGATGCTGACAGGTAATATTAGATTTATTCAAGGAAATACATACATAAAATACCTAGTTTGACGGAAAGACCATGAGTTCACGTGCACCATAATCTAGGGGGTAAATCCGCCTTAAGCACACACAGTAAAATAACACTCACATGCCAGCTAGCAAAGGTTGCTCTCCAAGAAATTCCACCGTCCTTATCCGATTCCAAATTCCTCCATGCAATTTCTAGGAAAACTCATTTTTAGTTCAATATATATCCACACTAGCACAAAAGGGGAGGGTGGCTAAGAGATAGACTGGCAGAATTAGGAAAAGACCTAACAGAGGGTTTTCTTCAAAAAAAAAAAAAAGCGCCGCAGCCCCAAAAATAATTCTGGTCGGTTTCCTTTCCTGGTTCTGCTGTGAATCAGCAACTCCTTTGATCACCGACACACACCAACTAAAAACCACCTTCAAACATCCATAGCTGCCTCCTTCAACCACCCAGTTCCTACCGTCAAAACAGCCATGAAGGCTGGCCATTTTCGCACCTCTTAATCACCAAATTTCAGCCACCATCACCCATGAAAACCACCCAAAAACAGCCATGAAAATCAGCTGCGAAACACCAAAACGCTGCCCCTTTTTCACCTGAAAACACCCCAAAACCAGCCCCGAAAAGCCATGAAAATCGGCCCCAAACCCAGCTGAAAACAACTTCGAAAACCAGTCCAAAACCCATGAAAACAGCCATACGAAACCAGTCGCCACCCGCCATAGTAACAGTAGAGTTTTCCCAGTTGATGTTTGAGGTTGAAGAGGTCAGTTCGAGGTGAGTTTTTTCTGGCCGGTCGAGTCTCAGGTCTTGGTTCGATTTCTAATAAAGCGTCGGATTTGTTTTCTTGACTAAAGGTCTGTCTCTTACTGGCCGGTATTTTAAACTATGTCATGAATAAAAAGGGCAGTCCGGTGCACAAAGCATTCCACGTTCACGCAAGGTCTGGGGAAGGGCCACACTGTAAAGGGTGTGATTTAGACAACCTACCCTAATGCAAGCATCAACGACTGATTCCACGGCTCGAATCCGTGACCTGTAGGTCACACAAAGACAACTTGATTGTTGCTCCAAGCTCCGCTTCAAAACTATGTCATGAATGAATGCATTTTTAAATTTTTAATATTGGAAGCCAGTTGGTTTAATTTCTTTTAAGTACCTTTCCTTTCTGTCCATAGCTTGCATCGATTAGTTTGTCATCTTTTGTCTGTTAAATATTTTAGCAAGAGCATGATTTTTTTCTGTTGGGGTGTGTTTGGTATGAAGGAAAATGTTTTCGTAAAAAATATTTTCATGGAAAATGAACAGTTTTATCACTTATTTTCCCTTGTTTGGTTGGTGAGTGAAATTTTTTTTCCGGAAAATATTTTCTAGTGTAGAAAATATTTTTAATGCGACTCTGCTCACCCTCCTTCCTAAGTCCCCATGTTTTCTGTGCTCCCCCTCCCCCTCCCAAACACCCAACGTTTTCAGGACTCTATTTTCTTCAAGAATTTAAGTATTCTTCTAAAAATTCACACAAACCAAAAGGAGCTAATGTGCCGCTTTACTTTTTTAAGCAAAAACAAAGTTGAATTTGTGCTCCATAACTAAAAAAACTCTTTTTTTTGGTTGAAAAAGAAAGTTCTCTTTCTACAACATGAAAATAAAGTACTCATTTTGTTGACATGAAAAAAAAATATTTTTTCTACATCATGAAAAGAAAATACTCTTTTGTTGAAATGAAAGAAAATACTTTTTTTATATCATGAAAAGAAAATACTCATTTGTTGAAATTAAAAAAAAACTACTCTATCTATAACATGAAAAGAAAGTACTATTAGTAATATTTTTACTTAGTGTGGGGTGGAGGTGGGGGGTCGGTGGCGGAGGGTGGGGCATTGGCGGACGAAGAGGGTAGGGGTTGGTGGGTAGGTGGGGGTATGGGGGTGGGTTGGTGGGGATGGGGAATAGGTAGGGAGGTTGAAAAAGGGTTTTAGAAAATGTTTTCCCTTGTTTTGATAGAGAAAACATTTTCCTCCAATATGAGGAAAATGAGTTCATGAGGAAAATATTTTCCAACACATTTAAGCCAACCAAACATGGGAAAATTGGAAAACATTTTCCTTCATACCAAACACACCCTTGATCTATAAAATAATAGAGCTTTTGTTTTAGTTAGTTTTCTTTAGATATTTAGTGATCTTTATTAGTTTACATTTTATAGAGAAGTTAGTTCCATAAATATGTAAAAACGTGAATCTTCATTTGGCGTTGTTAGTCTGATATATTTTACAAATGACGAAGCCCATGTTAGAGGGACTCAAGGTGCGAATTTAGTAATGTATAAAGGGAAATGGGCAATACGAACTTTGACGAGCCATGATACAATTTTGAGGTTACGAAATAATTGGGTGGTCGTTTGTACCAAAAGATTGTGGGCTAATTATTTAAAGTTTGCAAAGCCCAATGAGTTATAAGCTAGCCCATCTCTTACAAATTAATAGACATTGAAGTGACTCCAAAAATTCGTTAGAAAGCTCTTAGGTGCGTCTCAACAAACCAGTTACCATGGCTATGTGTACGTTCGTGATGTAGTTATGATCCATAAATTAGAGATCAAAGTGTGCGTTCACGCGACTTGCCAGATTAATTCCTAAAATAATAAAGTGTTATCAATCGTGTACGTATGCGTAACATGATTTTTGGCACACAAACGCAACAAGTGTACATATGCGTGACTTGTTCCAGATAATTTTCATAATTTCCTAAATAAGCAAATATAAGCCGTTTAAAAGCAGAAAATGCACAAAATCCCTTTAACATAGAATATCTGGATATTATATAAGCCAAGTTTAGAATATTAAGCGATCGTGCTAAAACCACGGAACTCAGGGAGTGCCTTACACCTTCCCCTGTTAACAAAATTCCTAATCCGGTCTTCCGTTCGGTTCGCGGACCATAATTGGAGTCAAAACTCTTCCTTGAATAAGAGATTTTAAAATTGGTGACGGAATACTGAAATTAAATAATCTATTCCAAGTGGCGACTCTTTAAAAATAATAAAATAAATCCGTTTTCAAATAATGTCACTTTAATTGGAAAAATTCCTTTCCACATCCCGGAAAAAGGAGGTGTGATACATCTTCTGGTTATTTATTCAATAAGTTTCTCTTGCCATTTGGAGTCCTTCCCCTTGCGCATCTTGAATAATTCAACAACTGTCTTTGAGTTATCAGCTCAAAAACATCTAATTATGCTGAGCAAATGAGGTTTCTATGGACTGTGGACTCATTGTCATTTCTTTGTCTAGTCGCATTACCAGAAAAATCTTGAGGAAGCAACCAGAGCTTCTGCTCCTTCGGTTTCTTTCATGATTTGTTCTGGAGCTTCTTTGAACTCTGTCTATAAGGTTTTGCATTTTAAAAACTTTTTCTCGATTCTGCCTATAGTTTAGAAGCATAATTACCCACCAGGAAATCTTCTACATTTAGAAGTGGTTTGTATGTTTTCCCTTAACCAAACGAAATTGGTGCTGCAAAGGAAGCCCAAAAGGATGGCTGATCTTTTATGGACCAAGCCCTTTCAGGACAAAATGAACATAGGTCTCTGTTTGATCTTTCTATAATTTCAGTTTAGGCCTTTGTTCATTAGTTCTTTTTGATAACCGCGGTGTTCGGGCCAGCTTGCACCTCGACTAATTCTCGACTAATTCCATTTGGTACCTGTTTTTTTTGTTCATTAGTTATTTTTTTTGTTCTTTTTTAGCTTTCTTCAAATAATTTTTCATCTGATAATACTTTTCTGTAGCAAATAAATATGTTTAATTGGTTTTAATTCGAGTTCTGCTGATATAAAAGCCATTATTCCTCCCATTTTAGCAAGTAGATATCATATATTGTTTACGATGAAGCGACTTTATGTAATTTCTCTAGTCAGTCACAAATTGTTCGTCTTTATTTTTTTTATATGTATGAGTCCTTTATCAAATCGTGTTGATGCTTATTGCAGATAACTGAAATGCTTAGCAGAATTTATAGGCGCAACTTCTGCACTTGTTCTCCTCGGCCATGGCTCTTTATTGGGTTAGGCAATCCTGGGGAAAAATACAAGGGAACAAGACACAATGTAAACTTTTATTTCTGGAATTAAATTATTTTTTCAGAAAGATTGCATAACACTCCATCTATTATGAGTTCCATCTCACTAAGTGTTCTTCATTAAGAGTATCTTATCTTTTCACTACAGGTTGGATTTGAAATGCTTGATGCATTCGCAGAGTCACAAGGGATTCAGATGGAGACAGTACATTGTAAAGCTATGTTTGGAAAAGGTCTCTTTGGCTAAACTTGTTTTTGTTCCTCTTAAGTGTTAAAGTACATCATCATGTTCACTTCTTTATCTTGTTTATAGTGTTCTTTTATGAAGTGTTTATCTTGTTTATACTCTTATCTATAATTTGGTTAATATTACCAATTCTCAGGTTTTATCAATGGCGTTCCGGTTCTCCTTGCTAAGCCACTAACTTATATGAATTTGAGCGGTGAATCTGTAAGCAATTAAATACTTCTACCTTATATAGTAAAAGCTTTTCTTTTTTCTGCTTATGATGGATTCTGCTTGGGTTCTATCTCAAAGAAGGATGTGTCTGTCTATCTGAGTGAAAACTAGCAATCTAAATGACTGTGTCCGGTTGTATAGTGAAAGCGGGGTCAAAAGGGCAGCCCGGTGCACGAAGCATCCCGCGTTTATGCAGGGTCCGGGGAAGGGCCGCACCCAAAGAGGGTGTGTGTATGCACCTACCCTGATGCATTTATAAATTTTCATTTTTGCCTGCTAGGATTGTTGATCTTGTTTATTATTTGTTTAGAGTTATCTCCTCTCTTTGAATTGGTGGTTTATTGACTATTCTGATTGTTTTGTGGGTGGAATGATTAATGGTGGGTGGTTAAGCTGTAGATCGCTAGAATTAGTTTTTACTATTAGAAGCCTCTTGTGCCAACTATTTGACTGTGAGAAATGACATGCTACTCCTGATACTTTCAAGTCTTTGCTCATATTTGTCTTTGGTGACCATGAATAATTTTGGACTAATTTCCTCCATTAGCTCAGGAACGGTAAGAACATGTTGAAGTTTGTTGTTAGTAGTTATAGTTCGTGTCTGACCACCCAGTAGTTACCATGGAATGCAAGTTCTGTAGTGACATTGCAAACTGGTAGGATTGTTGTTAAAAGTGAACAAGAAACAGTGAATGGAGCAAGCCAAATGAGTACCCTTTGTCTCATGATTTGTTATCAAAACTCCTACCAAAAAGACGCTACTACCTGATAAAAATGTTATTCAATTGATCTTTGAATTGCTAATTTTTGGTAACAATCTCTGAGAAATTGAGAAAAGACTATCTTTTTAGCTGAGGTTCGTTCAATTTTATTACTGATATAAGCTAAAAGAAGTTTGCCCAAGCAATTTGTCTATGTGGTTAGATAGTGAATTGCAGTGCATATTTGTTCCATGAACTAAAGCAACCCAGAGCGTAGCCTTGTGCTGCCAGAAAGTAGTGTAATTCTAATTCATATGTGAAAAATGCAATTCAAGTGGAAAAATGATATTATTGAAGGACCTTTGAACTCACTGGATTAGCTTTTCTTATGGACTAGGGGAGCCTATTTTGGATGGCAATATCTGTCACCTTTGTATGACATTTTGACTCTGTTTGTCATGAATTGCCTCTTCACCATTTAAATACCAGTACAAGCCTGGTCGCATTGATTTATCGAGGTTTAGTCCCCCTAGAATCAGATTAAAGGCATGCCGGCATGGCCAGCGATTGCTTCCCCTAGTTTGAGGGCAGGCTTATATGATCTAGACTCTCATCAGGCAAGTTAAATTCATGAGTCCTCTTCTTAAGTAAGTGAACTCTTATATGAAAACTCTTCTGCGTTCCAGTGATGGATGATAAGCCTTTGAAACTAGTCATGTGACAAGAATGGAAAATAGCGCATTTCTTTGCTCAGCTTATATCATTCACAAGGTAGGGCAAAGGTTTGCGTACACACTACCCTCCTCAGACCCATTTGTGGGATCTGGGTGTGTTGTTGTAGCTTATATCATTCAGACTCCAGTTTGCTTGTGAAATAAAAGATAAAAAGTTCTATGAGTATTCAGTAACGTTCTACTTGTTGGACATTGATGTTTTGGATGTTTTTAACGCGTGATGGTTTATCTTGCTTTTCGGTTGATGCTTAGTGATTTTGAAAAATTGAACTGCCTGTACTAATCTAAGGTGATCAATAAGTCTGATTCATCTCTTTTTTCCTTTTTTCCCCAGACTGGCCCACTTGCAGCATATTACAAGCTTCCTCTTAATCGTGTGGTTGTGGTATAAAATACTAGATGTTCATATTTTTTAAAATTTAACTGGACAGGTATATTATGCTTTTTTAATGCTTTTCAACAATTGTCTTTTTCTCCAGTTTCATGATGACATGGATTTACCATGTGGAGTTCTTCGTCTTCACCCCAAGGGAGGTCATCACAGCCATAATGGGTATGAGCTGAATCCTTCTCCATCTAAATACAACAACAACAACAAACCCAGTATGTTCCCACCAGGTGGGGTCTGAGGAGGGTAGTCTGTCCGCAGACCTTACCCCTACCTAACAGGTAGAGAGGCTGTTTCCAATAGACCCTCGGCTCAGGAAGGGTAATAAGAAGAACAGGAAAGCAAGAAAGGGAGAAAGAGGGAAGAGAAAAGAAAAAGAGAGATACAGGATAAGTAGTACCAAATAATAGTAACAGAGAATACAATACCTGAGGCGAACAAAACCACATAACATAATAAAAATCTAAGAATATGGAGGGACATGCGTGCTACTAAGACTATCGGTGAGCAACTAAAAACTACCCACTAACCTTCTACCTTAATCCTCGACTTCCACGCCCTCTTATCAAGGGTCATGCCCTCAGTGAGCGGAAGCAGTGCCATGTCCTGTCTAATCACCTCTCCCCAGTACTTCTTAGGCCTACCTCGACCTCTTCTCAAACTCGCCATGGCCAACCTCTCACACCTCCGAACAGGTACACCCACACATCCATCTCAACATCCTCATCTCTGCTACTTTCATCTTCTGCACGTGGGAGTTCTTGACTGGCCAACACTCCGCTGCATACAGCATAGCCGGTCGAACCACCACTCTATAAAACACCCTTAAGTCTTGGCGGCACATTCTCATCACATAAAACACCGGAAGCGAGCCTCCACTTCATCTATCCCGCTCCGATGCGATGTACGTGATCTTCGTCAATCTCCCCGTTACCTTGGATAATAGACCCGAGATACTTCTTTCTTGGGGATAACTTGAGCATCAAAATCTACTTAAAAAAAGAAAAAAACTTTAATTCAATGCCATGAAACCATCTATCTGTTCATTTTCAATCCAACCAATTGTCTATATAGGTTCACAACTGGAATTGTAATGAACTTATATTGAAAATTGATAGCGATGTCAAAATACCTAAAATGAAACATATAATCACCGGTGAAAGAATTACAAAGGCATAGCTCAGCCATCACAACTGGCTATCCAGAAGTACCTCTCCTGCAAAACAGCAAAGAGAAAAAAAGATACAGCTAAATCTTATACATCAGCTATTGCACTATTGTCCTAATTCCACGTGGAGCTCTCACATTACACATATAGCAACTTCTCTCGCTATGCAATTCCAGTCCCTGGCCTTCTTCTCAAACACTCTCTGATTTCTCTCAAGCCAAATTGAATGAACACACTCAGCATACACCATTCTAAACAGTTGAGCAGCTTGTGATTTTTCGTTAGAGTTCTCAATAGCCCATTCCAAGTGTTGTTCCTAGGTAGCAGCTTCAAATAATTGTGTGTTTAGCCATTGCATCACTGTCATCCACAATCTCTTATTGAGATCACAGTAATTAAATAAATGGTCTCTAGATTACATTGGGATTGACATAATGTGCAGGCATGCAGCATTGATCCACACTCAGTCCCCATCTAGCTAGCCTGGCAGATGCAAGTAATTTCCCCTGTTACTGCTGCCAAAGGTGAACTTAGCCTTTGGTCTTGCAGCATTTGAAAATCACTCGGGGACATTTGTCTAACATTTGCAAGTACATTTGTCTGATTATGCTTTTGCTGTCTGTTAAAGTAACTTGCATCTGCTCTAATACTGCTCTAGCTTCCATTATTTTCCTGATCATCCAGCATGCCTGTTGAGGCTTATCAAGTAATTATTACCTGAATATGAGCATAACATTTTGTTAGGAAGCTCATTACACGTACCCATACCTTTTTTCTTTGATAACCATGGTGTCCGGGCCAGCTTGTGCGTACCTCGACTAATTCCACGGGATAGTACCCAGACCTGCTTTTGACTGGTGAATAGAATATAGACCTCTGAAAATGCGTCACTGTTTGCTGTGTCAGATTTTTCATGTTTTGCTAGTTAGTACCAGAAGAGCTCTGTGTCTCTTCATGTAAGACGCAGTTTCAGTTGCTGTTAAACTGTATATGATCCAGTTCTCTGTTTTTTCAGGTTAAAGAGTGTGATTTATCATTTTCGCGCAAATCGAGAGTTTCCTCGGTTAAGGATAGGTATGTGGAAAGTCTGGAATACTTGAATGTTCTCTTTTGGCGTTTTGAGTTTCAGTATGGAGGACTAAACATAGTACTCTTGCTAGGTATTGGAAGACCTCCTGGTCAAATGGATCCCAAAGCATTCATGCTTCAAAAGTTTAACTCAACTGCGAGAGAACGAGTAAGTTTATAACTCATTCATTTCTTACATAAAGTCTACTTCCTAATAATTCTTTCTTGTTATTGAACTTCTTTATTGGTCTAAAACTTGTACAGCCTTTGAGTTTTGTAGGAACTGCTCATTGTGCATTAGTACAGTAGAGGTCGTCTTATTTTATGTTGAATGAGTGTGTGCTAGAATGCAAACAGATGTGTTTACGTGAAATGCATACGCCTGAAGCTAGTCAAATAAACTTAAGGTTGATAAGATATAGCAGAGGAAATCAGGAAAGACCTTAGAGAATCTATTGAACAAACTTTTGTATTATCTCCAATGGGCACGTTTCCCTCTGAATTTGATTTCCGGCTTCCCTTCCAATAATTCCACCATGAATGTCTACTTCCCAAGGGGGGTTAATCTTTTAGGACACAAGCTTTTTAAATGTATTCCTGTAGTACTTGCTTACGCAAACATCTCACTAGAAACAGTGGGAATTTTTTTTCTTGATGGAACAGAAAAACTGTCGATTAAGAACCAAGATTGTGGCTATTCTGTTTTCAAATTTCTGTTCATTTAACAATTTTGTTTCTTTGTTCCATAGATCAGCAGCCATTAGATTTTGATGCATATATGCTGAGCACAGAGGTCTAAATAGGCATACAGTTATTCAAATATGTCATAAATTGTGTCCCTGTTTTTGCTAGATATGATTTAATTAGAGTTTAAGAGTAGATATTCTGTATATATGGCTCTAAATAGAGTAATTTTTGTATCTCATACATATTACAATCTGTTCTGATATGTATAAGCTGTGTTGTTCTAACACATCTTTGTTCAATCTTCTTCCTTTTGTAATAACTGTTATCAGTTTGGATAACTTTCATCTTCCTTTTATCAACACATGTTGCAAAAAGAAAATATCATGAGACATGTTGAAACACGTCAAAAACAGGCAGATGGCATGTTTTTTAGAGTTCAACCAATGAAAAACATTTGGATCCAGTAAATTTATCATAGACATGTTCCCTGGAGTCAAGTGCATGATCCTCAGATGGAACATCAAGCATGAATACTGTATCATTTTAGAAGTACCCATGCTTCAGATATTGAAGCCACATTGGGATTGGAATGATCTTTACTTGATAAAACTAATCTTGTTGAGTATTGACATCAATTAAGGAATTCCAAGGTATTTGTTTGTATCTCTTAAACCACTTTTAATTGTTGAAGATCATACATTTTTTACTTGCAGATTGATGCTGCATTACTTGAAGGAATACATGCGTTGAAGCAAGTCTTATCCAAAGGCTTCTCTGAAAGTTCTAAATGCTTCAATACGGAGCAGAAGTACAAGCATATAAGGTTGCAGACGTTGCCAACATGACATCACGCTTCGAGGTTTTTTAGATCTTGTTGCTGCTGTGTCTTTCTTTTTTAGTTTCTGTTGATTGCTTAAAAACTTAGTCTCTTCCATGACAACATAAGTGTCACCCCCCACCCTCCGACAGAATAATGCAACTTCAAAAAATGCTGTTGGTACTCTTGAATTATTTTATGCCTGCTATATCTTGAGAAAAACTGGCAGTTATCTTTATTGTTTAAGCTTTCATGTTGCTTTTGCTCCATGGAAATTACTTGTACAAAAGAAACAATTAAACCTATCTGCCCAGTACTTTGAGATCAATATCCATGGATCATGATAAAGTGAAATAAGGAATATTTGGAACTACATACCTCTAGTTGGTGTACGCAATTCTGACGCCAGCCATAAAATCCATACTTTCTACACCAGTGATTTTCTTTCTGCTACCTTTATTTTTCATGTACAAGCTCTGTTAATAGTAAACTTAATGGACAAACTTCTGGGTGTTTGGATGGTGTGCAGCTAGGTGTTTAATATCCACCCATGCATCTCTTTACTTAAGAGTGGCCAGCCTTTCCTCTTTACCACTTCAAACTGGAAAACACGTGTAATCACACACCAAAATCCATGGCAGATCATATCGCCTAAGCAACTTCTGGCGGATATTGTATTGTAAATAATACTGTTTTAGGCAACTGTATTGGGTTTGAAACAGGTGGAAGTTGATTTTGCTCAAGCTGGAAGTTCATAGTTAGCCTAGTCCATAGTCGTTGCTGGATGCAGGGATCTCCACTGTTGTCATTTCACCTTCTTCTCGAATATGCTCTGGATGTTTTCCTTTATAGAGTGAATTACATATTGCAGGCGTGCTCTTCCTGTACCAAATACCACACTCCTGCCACCCCAGAAGTAATTGTAGTGGCTCTTTATTACAAAGGCTGTCATTACTACTGATCTCACTTGCCCACTCATTTTGAATACAAACATTAGCTGCAATCTTGCAACTATCGAAAGGACTATGACCTGAATGGCAACGTTAAGCTAAAGATTTGATTCAGAGAAAGCATTTGAAAGACCTTATTTATAGTGTGTAAAAAAAATAATATAGTTTTCTTTTGCCTGTACTGGATTATGTTACATCGGAGAATCACGTATAGCACCAAGTTGAAGTAGGAAGAATGATGGTTCGTGACAGGAAGTTCATCGTTGCTACATTGATATCACCTTTGCAACATTGCCCCTAATTTTTAAAGTCGTATTTTGCATTGTTTGTGAACATTTTGTTATTAATCCCTCAAATGAAAGATGCAAGTGATAAGGAGCACTCACAAGAGAAACACTTTGCTTTTGGAATAACACGACATGCTGTTAACTCAACGCCTGTAGAAGTGAACGAACATATAGACATCACTCATCTGGGATAGGATGAGACTCAGCTTATCTTTGGAGTGGCCCTTAAGCCATTGGCATAACTCGAACTTATTTTACAAAAAGCATCTGACAAACTCACAACTTAACGGCCTTAAGGCAGAGTGAGACAGCAAGATAATATATAAAGCAAAAGGAAAGCTATCTACTGGTGAACCAGTTAGTTTAAATTCTCGAAATGCTAAGGACGAATGTATTTTACACACTCACTGTCTTTTATAGGATAGTTGAGGCGTAGGAGTGACAAGACAACTTTGAAATCTCAATAAGGAAGTCAGTGTTTGAACAGGAAAAGAGACGGAGGATATAGGATTGTCAAATTCGTGAAGGACTGGCCTTCTAGTTTGGTTATACAGATAGAAAAATGACTTCATTAGCAGAACAGAAAAAAGAAAACATAGTTCATATTATTCTTATGATAGAATGTCTTTTCTTTAGAATAGCATGTACTGCCTCCTCAGATGCCTACCGAATTAAACAAGAGCAACAACATGCATCCAGAGTAACATTGATTAGAGTAGAAGCAAATTACTCAGTCCATGTTCTCAACATCCGGGCTAAAGGGTATTCAGCAAACTGTGAACTCTAACCATAATGTTGTTACCAAAACTGCTAATTGCAATAGTTCACTCCTCTTTTTTGTTTTAGGAGATAAGTGAACTTAGTTTTCATAGAACCAATTCAGTTTTCGTAGAAGTTAGAACCAACTTAATGTTTCAAATTCAGTAGAGTGGCCTTGAAAGAAGAGGCAAAACATGATTGGCACTTCTGCATTTCTCGAATCATTGTAATAAGAGGCAAAACATTCTGCTGACCTTGCGGGACAGAGGGGAAACAATAAAAAAGGAAATTGAGATGAATCGACAAATTACGAGACAGAGATGAAACAGATCACTATTAGATGAAGGTTATGAAAGAAACATATTGTACAAATGAACAGTTCACCCATAGATCGATGAACAAATGCAGCCTGAAACAACTAACGGCCTTTACTTCAGAACTGAATAAACTGTAAAAACAGGCAAAAAGATGTGTGAATCTACGTATAGAGTGCGTGTAGATATCTTGAACTGTTTAGCACGTGTTGATCCCATCCTTACAGTCTTTTGTCAAGTTATAAAATGTCTCCACCTGAATCTTTGCTCTATAAAGGACCTCTGTGTCCACTTCAACCCTCATATATCCGTCAAATTCAACAGGTCGTCCACCATTCAGTTGTGTTGTTTCATTGTACCACTCACTTGTATTACTCCACAAATACTTGTAATCGTCAAGCAAATGTACCTTGTAGTGAGATCTAAGTTTATCAAAATAATTATAGAAAGGCTCGTTTGTGGCAACATACAAGTTCCTCCAAGGTGTTATTGCTCCTTGAAGCTTTGTGACAAGGGCATCAGGAGATGTATCAGCATCCAGATGCGGCCACAACTCCTTGTTCTGAGCTTTCTCTCCCCGAACAACATGAACAGCATCATAATCCCAGTCCATACTTCCACTAATCTCAGTAACTATATTCATCAGTCTCTTAGATTTCCACAAAGCGTGCCACGGCCTCTGGATGTATTTAGCAGCAGGCCCTTCACAGACACGATACCAGTAGTTCTCTGGCTCGGGGGCATCAAACTGCCTCCATATAATTGTGCTCTTGTCCGTCCTTAGTTGCATTGGAGACACTTTATGGTTTGCAACTTTCCTTACAGAGATTTTCTTTTTATGTGTTTTATCCCATCTCTTCCAATCTTTAAGGAAGTCTCCTTCCTCGACAATAGATGCATCCTCTTTCAAATGCTCAAAATCAAAATAGAACCTAAAGTCTTTCCCTTCCTCGTCCTTACGACTCTGAGTGTGTGACGATGCCAAACAGATACTCAAATCCATCACAAATGTCCGGTTCAAGTACTTAGCCTCACCCAAAGCACATAGAAAGCTCCACAGATAATGATTCATTCCTTTACAGTAATCACCACCACGAGAATAGTACAAGTATCTCCCATCTCTAAAAGCTGAATCTGATCCGATGACTGGAATTGTATCATTGATATCCTCATCTCGAACTGGGGGAGAAATTCTGGCTTTCCAACCAGTTCCAGCAGTATTAACTCGGATTCTTGGACGCCGTGCATTTACCCCTGAATGCCAGCGACCCGCATGAACTACTTTGTAACTACAATCATCACTAAACCCCATTCTGAACCTCCTGAAATCTCTGTACTTCCTCCAAGATTTCTCTTTCTTGTTTCTAAACCTCCATGCCACATCACACTCATCGGGTTTCGACCCATTAACGGGAGTTTGATAATCCAAAAAAGCAATGGACTTGAAAGCCCTCAAGTTAAATCTCTCAATGGTGATCAACACCCTTGGATCTGAACAATTAACAACTACATTCTCATTCTCACATCCCAATTTCAGAGTCTCAGCTGGAAGTTTCTCTTCAGATTTCTCAATAGAAGCTTCAGTTATTGGCACTAAAGAGAAAGCCCCTGCCATAGGAGCAGTGGCAACATCCTCACCAGTTTTGAGGACAGAATTGTCCACTTTAAATGTTGCATTTTCAACTTGGGTGAAGACCCTAGTCAGTGCTCTAGATGATTCCCATGGATCAGGAGGTTGGTATGTGATAGCAATTATAGTAAATATAAGCACTGAGAAAACAAAAACTGAAAAGCACACATTGCTTATACCTTTTATTAAGTTTTGCCCAATTGGGTCTGTTGTTGAATTCAATTCCTTCATTGATACAAAACTCTAAAACCCAGTTCCCAATTTCAAATCCAAATCATCCAAACAGAAGTAGTAAGAAGCCAAATTTGTAACTGAAAGTGAACAAATAGGAGAAAATCAATACTAGAATTTACTCACCTCTGAGCTGAGATTTACCCTTGAGATTATCTGAGAGAGCAAAGTTTTGTTTTGAAAAAAAAAAAAAGATTGGATCTTGAAGAGGGGTTTTACAAAGTAAGGATTTTGAAAAGCTAAAAGGATTTGAAAGCCCTTGAGCTGATTTCTTTAAGTAAAAAAGGAAACAATTTTGGTACTCCAGTAAATTAGGACAGATCTCAACAGATTTTGAAAATTAATAGATTCTGATATTGCCTGAAAAAATGAGGTTTTGATTAATTCACTAATTACACTGTGTTTTGCTGCTGTTTAGTTTCAGAGGAAGCGTTTAGTGAGCTGTCACAAGCTCCTTTGTGTGGACTATTCTTTGTTATGTCGTCATCATCAAGAAGGGGCCATATAGTTAAATTTATTTATCATATTTTACATTGCTATCAACAACAAGAACAACTCAATATAATTTTACAAATGAGGTCTGCGGAGTGTGTTGTTTACGCAGATCTTATCCCTACTATAAGGGTAGAGATATTATTTTCGAAAGACCCTCGGTTCAAGAACGTAAAAGAGAAAAAATCTGTATAAATCTTACTCGATATTAGTTCTGAATAAGTTTGTATAAATTTTACTCGTAATTAGTTCCATAGTTTGTTTAACTCCTTAAAGTTCATTTTGCAAGAGACAATATATAAATTTAATATAGAATAAAGGATATAATACTCAACAAATCCTAATAACTTTTAAAATCCCAATATCACATAGTTTTTATTTTTTTTTCTTTTTACCTCTTGGTACCTCTACAATGTTCCCATTCGTGGGACTTGGTTGTTGTTATTATTATTGTACTTTACATTGTAAAATAACCAATTTAATGTGACTAATATAAACTTAAAATTGAAAATATTTAAGTCCAACTAACTATAAAAAGAAGAAGAAGTATTTAGAGGTGCAAAATAATTTAACTTTCCTACCCAAAAAAAATAATTTATTTTTTCTTCGGAAAAGTATATGTAACTTTACCTTTTAAAAATATGGTCAAAATAGATATATAGGAGTCCCCTTCTACATTCGTAGACTTTGCCCTAATAAAACACTGCAAATTTCGAACTTACTCACCGCCGTTTCTCTCTCGCCCAAATTTTCTCGTCGGCCATCCGCAGGTATATCTCTTATTCTCTGTAAATATACAGTCGCAAACGTGTCATATGTTTCTAATTAGGGTTTTTGAATTTTATGGCTCGTTTCCCTACGAATCCAGCTGGTCGCTTAGTGCTATTTGTTTTTTCTTTTTGGTTCTTTTTGATTGTTATTTGTTGTGGTTTTACTGGAAAAATAGGTTTTTTTTTTTTTTTTTTTTATAGTTGGGAGGATTGAGTTTTTTGTTTCAAAGGTATTTTTTTTAATTTAAATTTTTTATCCCCCAAATGCTATCCTTTTGAGTCCCTTTTGTAGAACTGTTGAAGTATTTATTTTTTGCATTTGTGGATGTCTTTGGTATTGTAAATACTTAGCAAATTTGAGAATAATTTGTGTTGTTTTAGATGTGCTTTGTTCTTCCTGAGCGTTTGGATTTGGTCTTGGAATTATTGTGAGAGAATTTCTGTTGTGCTTGAGAGTTGTTTCAGTTATTGGTTCTAGCTGATCACTCTCTTTGGCTGACATAATATTGGTTTTATTCTTTTCCTCTGTGTTTCACCAACTTAATTATTTATGAAACCCATAATACGGAAAGAAAATGCTTTGCCTGTCTCTTGTTCTAGTTGGAGAGGAGCTTCTCCTCTCTCTTGTTTAATCGGGGGACTCAATGGAGGAAAATGGTGCAGAACATTCTTATGATAATTAGGATTGTGATAATAAGTTTTATACCCCGAAAAGTAGATTGATATTGGGCATTCATATGCTTATGGTATGTATTTATGATGTTAAATCTGATGAAGGTCAGGTAAAGAGGCTATGTTTTTCCTCAGGAACTAAAGCTTCTTTACCCTGATTATGCTGGTTTTTGGATCTGTACTCAAATTGAATATGTTTTGATTGCTATTTTATTTTTGTGTCAATATATTCGTTTTGTAATTGTATTAACTTTTGGTATATCTCAGCTAATCTGGTGCAAATGAGGGGAAGGAGTTACAGTCCATCACCGCCAAGAGGTTATGGAAGGAGAGGAAGGAGCCCAAGCCCCAGGGGTCGCTATGCTGGTCGTAGCAGAGATGATCCGACTACTCTATTAGTTCGCAATCTTCGCCATGACTGTCGGTATGCATCTTGCCCAACATTTTATTCTCGGAGCATACCAGGTTTATTTTCTTTTTGCTTAACCCATTAAGCTGTTTTATCTTTGTGCACAAGTGATTACATGCTTGTAATGGATGCTGTGTGCACTAAATTAGAAAACACACAATGGATTTTTGTCTCAGGGCCATAACGGGGGGCCGGAATAAGATTGGAGAATGTTAATTGTGTGAGATCTATGCTCTCGTTGGAGCTATCTGTAGAAACTTCTTACCTCCTGCTTGTCTTTTGAGCAAGAACTAAAATTGGTCCTAATAACACTGTTATAATTCCTATCTTATTAAAGAACACTGCTATAATTCCTATGACTGATTGAGTTACAATATGTTAGGATTAGGTGTTCCATGAATTTGTGCATGCAGTTTGACGTGACCATTCACTTTGCTGTTTGTGTGCAGGTCAGAAGACCTCAAAAAGCCATTCGGGCAATTTGGCCCTGTCAAGGACATTTACTTGCCGCGGGACTATTATACTCGGTGAGCTTGTTTTACATTGTCTTTATGTATACGATTCTCCTCCCTTCTTAAACGAAGACAAAGAACCAAGAATAAAAGAAGTGGGAGTTATTACTATCCGACATCATATCTCAGTTAGATACTCTGCCCTATAAAGTCAGGCATATCCTTTTCATCTTCCAGAACTAGATATTTCATATTTTAGTTTCTGAGAGTCAATTCATTTCGTCAAGTTTTTCTCAAGTTTTGACATAAATATCTGCTCTGACATTTGCTTACTTTTTATTTTATATTGGGTTCTGTTTTTTAAACTTTTTGTTATGTCATGCTGGGTAACACTTGTTAAAATTGTTGAGATGTAGCAGTGATAGTAAGAGTTTTCGAGACTTCAATCAAGTAGTAAGAGTTCTGTTGATACTTTCAAGTAGTAAGAGAGCTCTTGACATCAATCAAGTAGTAAGAGTTCAAGGTGATGTTAATGGTAGTGAAGATTGGAAGGAATATGGATATCAATAGAATGTGAAGATTTCGAGATTTCACGTCTTGAAGAATTTCAAGTCATCTTTAAACTGATACGTGCAAGGTCAGCAGCCACGTGCCTGCTTCTGTGCTTATCAAGGCATTCCAATTTTTTGAAGTTATTTTGTTTTGTTGTTTCCGGCCTTTTTGGAAATATTGAAAGTCATTAGGCAAGTCTCTTCTTACTGCACACTTTTTCTCTCTTAGAAACTAATTTGATTTGTGCTCCAAATATATTATTTTTCATCCTTAATCATTGGGGTAAGTTTAACTGTCAGTTTCTGTACAATTCTGAAACTTAAATTTGCCCGCTTTCATATTCTTACTAGGATATTCAGACAGCCACAGAGTTCTGTAGCTTGGAGAAACATTCTGGCTGATCCGTGCTGTAATTTGATGGTGTCTGACACATTTTTGTGTTCTCTCTTCTCTTGTTTGCTTTGTCTTTTACTTCACAGTGAACCACGTGGCTTTGGATTTATCCAATATCTGGATCCTGCTGATGCTGGAGAAGCTAAGTATCAGATGGATGGTCAGGTTTTCCAAGGTCGTCAACTGACAGTAGTTTTTGCTGAGGAGAACAGGAAAAAGCCTCAAGAAATGAGAGCTAGGGAGCGTGGAAGGTAGTTCTGTGTATTTTTTTGCTCAGTCTTGACATTAGATTCTCCCTTTAACTTGCTTCTGCTTGAATAGTAGTTTGATATGGCTTAGTACCAAAAATATGTTCTGAGATTTACTATCTGAAAGGATAAATTTGTTCGTGCTTTGGATGTTTTCTTTTGGTCAGTCATTTCTGTTACTCTATAATGTTATTGGATGACAGAGATGTTTACTGTTACTTTCCGATACTTTTTGGTCGGCTAGGTTGTAAGCCGTCGTGTAAAGCCTCTGTTACATTTCCTGTATTCTTCTCATTCTTAAGTTTGTGCTTTTGCAAATCAAGGGTTTTGAATGAAGAGAGATATTTGGTTTTTCAAATGGCTGGTTTGATAGTCATGAATTTTATATGTATATTCTATTTGAGTGCCTATAAAGAATGCAGTATTTCTTCTTTGTTGAGATGTCTAAACACTCTAAAATACCATCTTGTAGTGGTAGGGGTGGCCGCAATTATGATCGAAGGGGTACTCCCCCTAGATTCCATAACTCTCCTCGGTATTCTCGATCTCCACCTCCAGGCAGCCGTGATTACTACTCTCCACCTAAGAGAAGGCAGTACTCGAGGTATGCTACGTCCACTGATACTTAATATATGCGAATGTGATATATTTGATATTTTATGATGATCAATGTTTGATTTAGATCATTGTGAATGACAGACAACCTAGGTCCTAATAACTTAAAGCCTTTCTTTAGTAATCGAAATTCGGGTTTGTGTGATCATAGACATCCCAATTCATTTGTCTGAAGAACATGCGCGTCTGGTATATCATGATATCGTTTGGTTCATCTTATAGTCTACTATATGCATGTTGACTAGGAGGTTGATCTGATAACTAGACAGATCAAGGTGAGAAGAAATTAAGAAGCTTCAGCATTTCCTTTGCTACAGCTAGATTGAACCCGGCATTAATAACGATTCTAGTTCAATTTGTCAGCAGTGTCAAAGGAATAGTCTTTGAATCTTGGGAATGTTATCTTTGGCAATGAAACCTGCTTTCTTGATTCTTTCTTGGTTGGGATTTACTCAATTCCTTTTAGAAATGTTTCAAAATCTTGTCCTCCAAACCTTTTGTTTCCTTGTCTTCGAAGATTGTTTGGACAAATTCTTTGTTTGATCCTATCCATATGTTCAAGAGAACCTTGCTGCAACTAAAAGCCGTACTTAGAACTTCTAAACATGAGAGATTTCACATAAGTACTTGGAGTCCCTTGGTTTAGTAATATGTTCTGAATTTAGTTGCTCATGCTTTATGCTCCGGTAGCAAAGTAACACCAATTCACGATGAGTATTTGTCTCCTTCCTTTGCAACTCATCTCCTTCCTTTGCAGGTCTGTTTCGCCTGAAGAGAAAAGATACAGTCGCGAGAGATCATACTCTCCTCGTGCTGGTCAGGGGAGGTCATACTCGCAATCCCCTCCAAGGGAGCAATCTCCACCATACAATGGGTCAAGGAGCCGCAGTCAGAGTCCAGTTAAGGAGCAGTCTCCACCTTATAATGGGTCAAGGAGCCGCAGCCGAAGTCCAGTCATTGCACGTTCTCCTGTTAGGGGTCCCAGCAGGAGGCGGAGCCCAAGTCAAAGCCGTAGTAGGAGTCCTGATGCTGTTCATTATTCCAGGAATCCTGACCGTGATGTGTCCCCTAGACACTGAACGCTCCTTGTGTTGATGAATGCTGCAGTTTGAAAGACACGTGATTTTCTGTCATTAAATTACATCTCAGGGTATTCTGGAGTTGCTAGTATGACTCATGGATTATTTTCTCGACTTGTTTCTTTGGCTTGTTTGTACTTTAGTAGTACTGATGATTGGATAACATTCTGGAGTTTCTCTTTTTCCATGTGACATTTGACTGATGTTCGTTAGACGGGCCATATTCACGAGTCCGAAACTTTTCTAATGATTTTTTGGACAAAAAACACGTTTTTGCTACTAAAAAAAAGTTACATAACTACCTAATTCGCAGTACTATACTGCGAATTACCTTAATGGAAATTTAGCCATTAAAGTAATTCGCAGTACAGTACTGCGAATTATTAAAAAAAAAAAAAATTAACTAATTCGCAGTACAGTACTGCATTAACAGTGGTGTATCAAGAAGCTGAAGTTTGTGCCTGTTGTTCTAGAAGCATTTGTGTGTTCTGCTCTTTTGGTCTGCCAAAACTACCACAATTAAAAAATAATGAACCTTGTGCAATTCAATAAATGTACCAATTAAAAAATACTCCCTCCGGTCCAAAATAAGTGATCTTTTAGATGTTTTCACACAGATTAAGAAATCTACCTTTTAACATTAATTAGTAATGAAATTGACCATGTTAACCTTTACTATCTCTTCACATAAACACTCCTAACACATACTCCAACACTATTTACTCCAAGGGCAATATAGGAAAAAAATAATTAATTCATTCTTGAAATTTGGAAAAATCACTTATTTTGGACAAAAAAAAAAAAGGCCAAAAAATCACTTATTTTGGACCGGAAGGAGTAATGAACCTTGTGCAATTCAATAAATGTACCATATCAGTGTATAGCTCAGATATTAATAAGTGGTTCCGTTATGAAATTAGGGTTAGAGATCTCGTAACTGTTCATTATATAAGATTTTCCAAGCACGGGAAGAAGAAGTAACACGGAGTAGAAGGCACTCTTATTTATTTATTTATAATAACAGTGGTGTTACTTAGAACAGAGGAAATCACCAAATGTTTTTTTAAGCTCTAGTGGGATCTGAATCCTTCCCATGTTTTCCTTTTTCCTGACGATTTTACTCAAGTTGTAAAGTCTGTTAAAACTGCAGGTGTTTCCTTCTTGAAGAGAAATACTGATATAACTGCTTGACCATTTTAGCTAAGGAAGCATGCAATTAGTATAACAAGTAAACTAAATTGCCTCATATCTAGTCAAGTTACACAGTTCAAGAGGAAGAAAACCCACAAAGCTTCATCTGTGTCATTTCATGGTCATTTGAAAATATGTGCAAACTCCAAGCGAAAAATGAATCAACTCCCTGTAGAAGCTGCCAAAATCTTCCAACATGTAAAAATTCACATTTCCAAATTAAGTCACTATTACTTACGCAACATTCCCAATGCTAATAACAGTTTTTGTTGTTTTAAGATTTAATGTGTACTGTTAATGATTAATAGTTCGCAGTACAGTTTGCGAATTAGTTAACTTTTTTTTTTTTAATAATTCGCAGTACTATACTGCGAATTACTTTAACGGCTAAATTTCCGTTAAGTATAGTACTGCGAATTAGGTAGTTATGTAACTTTTTTTTTAGTAGTAAAAACGTATTTTTTATCCAAAAAAATCATTATAAAAGTTTCGGACTCCCATATTCACTTGGTAATCGGCAGTTACTGCCTCACTTCAATCTGTGTTTGGTTTGACCAATTATTTCACCCAAAATATTTTTTGTAAACTCATTTTTCAGTTTAATGATTTCCGAAGTCAGGTCGGAATACATTGACAGTTGCAACCATCAGACTTATTATTTCTTTGATTTGATTTGTTTTCCATTTTTGAGTTGTGTATACTGTATAGTATAGCATTAGTGGAAATCCGATATACACGTTTCTCCATTTTCCATCGCATCCTCCAACTAACTCGTCCATGCACCTACCCGCCCTTCATCTCTACCACCCAACCCATCTATCTACCTATAAAAAAACGAGGTTCACCTCAGGGTTAATAATTAGTAGATTTTTTCTTTCCAAAAAGATAATTTGATTCAAGCGATTTATTGGAATTGTTGCAGATGCCAATTTTTTAATCTCTGATAGTATAAAATACTAATCAATATAGTTTTACATAATGCATGCTACGATTAGTGGCGGAGCCAAAATTTTCGCGAAGTGGGTTCAATTTTTTTTTTTTTTTTTTTTTGTAGTTAGTGGGAATTGAATCTATGATCTAGGTTTTGTACCCCCTTTGACCACTAAACTATAATTTTGGATTGTGTAAAGGGGTTCAAAACTTAATATATAGAAATAAAAAATAAATTTTACCTGCAATTTTCCGGCGAACCCCTTCCGCCCCTGGCTCCAACAATGGTATTTGTTATGCTATTTGATACTATAAAACTTAAAGCATAGGCATCAGATAAAAATTAAATTATACATAATTTCCCGTTCATTGCTTCTACTTTCTCTCTCTCGTCATCCAACCGTCTACAAATATGACTGGGGATGTGCTTTGACTATAAAGAATGAAAATAATTAATCTGAAAATGTACCACTTCTCATGTTTTAGAGTTGAACTTTCAAACTGGACTAATACTTGAGTAAAAAAAATTTCAAATATAATTTTATATATTTGAAAACTGTTCGAAAATAACTCGGTCAAATCAAATACCGTTACGTAAACATGAGTAGGTGGGAATAACTTTTTGTTTGTTTTAATTATCTAAAATATAATTTGATAAACTCGGGACAACAAACATTTGGGTAAAGACAACGGTTGAAAGTTACACAAGTTATGTGCATCTTTGTCCTTTGCATATGTAATGGAGTAGTATATATGTATGGGTGAAAGCGGTAAGGATAGAGAGAGAGAGATGGGAAAGAGCATAAGTGAAGTGAGGGTGGAAGATTTGGTAAGAGCAGGAGTAGCAGAGGAGGAAGCAAAATGGTTGATGGGAGAGCTGAGTGCTGCAATTGCTAAAGTTGCTGTTAATATTAATGGTGGGTTGTTGGATCAAAGGGAGGTATGGCGTGAAATCACTGCTCGGAAATTACTGAAACCCTCACACCCACATGCTCTGCATCAGCTCCTTTACTACTCTGTCTACCATAACTTTGATCATGGCCCTCCTCTCTATTGGTTCCCTTCACTGTAAATATCTCTCTCTCTCTCTCTCTCTCTCTCTCTCTCTCTCTCTCTCTCTCTCTCTCTTTTT